TACTTATAAATCGAGCTAAATTTATATATACATGATGGATTTAGACAGGATAAGAACTTAATTTGACTGCAAACTCTTCCATATAGCCATCTTTTGCATAAAATAAAAATTTGCATAATGCACTGCAATTTTCAAAGAGCTTTTATATATAGTAACATGTTTTAATTCTCACAAGTGTGAGTAGGTATTGTTATCCTGTTTGCCATTCAAGAAACACATACTCCACCATAAACCCCATCATCTCTCTTCCTTACTCATAACCTAATCAAATTAATTTGAGATTTACAGTAGTCATAACTCTCACAATCACACATCACAAATTGTGATGACTTTAGCCATTTTCTTTCTTCCCTTTGTTTTATGAGCGTAATTATGAATGAGTCCCTGAAAACAGCTATAAGATTAACAGGAACTTCAAAAGACATCTCTGGACCCTTATCAATAGATACAACCAGGGCCAGGCAAGGTGGCTCATGCCTACAATCCTACCACTCTGGGAGGCCAAGGTGGGAGGATTGCTTGAACTCAGGAGTTCGAGATCAGCCTGAGCAAGAGCGAGACTCCATCTATATTAAAAAAAAAAAAAAATAGATACAACCAGAATCTGAAACACCTGTCCACATGGACTCAAATGTAACCATTCTAGCTCTGGCAGACACCTTGTTATCTACAAGTAAAAATGAGTGGCTTTAGAATGCAGTAATAACAACTAGCCTTAATTTTGGTGTTTTAAGTAGTTTAGAGCCATTAGTAAGGTAGGTTTCTGCTTTGAAGAAAATATTATTTTGATGTGTATTTGTAAGATGGGTACTATGACTATCTTTTGCTCTGCTAAGACTTAGAACCTCCCTATTGGTTCCCTTACTTACCCACAGTGAATAAGAGCTGTGAAAACAGGAGCTAACCTACCTGTGTTCAAATCTAGCTAAGTTAGTTTCTAGATTTGACCTTGGGCAAGTTACTTAACTTCTCAATACCCTGATTTCCTCATTCATACGATGGGAATAATAATAACAACTGCCTCATTAGGTTGTTATAAGGATTAAATAAGTTAAAATATGTAAAGATCTTAGAACAGCATCTGGTACAATAAGCACTATAAATAAGTGGGTGCTATTATTATTTAACACTAGTAACTATACTTCCCCGGTAGCTAAAGAAATCTAAGAAAGGAATTTTTTGAGGCCCATTCTTCTGGTAACACTTCATATAATAGTTTTATTTTAAAACAAACCAAATAAGGAAACCAGTCTTTCATTTTTTTAAACAGTTTTATTGAGGTCTAAGTGATAGACAATAAACTACACATATTTAAAGTGTACAATTTGCTAAGTTTTGATATATGTATATATACATGAAACCATCACCACAATCAAGATAATATAATGAACATATCCATCATTCTCAAAAGTTTTCTCACGTCCCTTGTATTCACTCCCTTTTGCCCTCCCTGCCCCCATCCCCCATTATCTCCAGGCAAGAACTGAAATGCTTTCCTTTCCTACAGATTAGTTTGCATTTTCTAGAATTCTATATGAATGGAATCACAGAGTATTTTTTTTTTTTTGGTCTGTCTTCCTTCCCACAACATAACTTTTGTAAGAATCATCCACATTATTATATGTATTAATAGTACATGCCTTTTGTTGCTGAGTGGTATTCCATTGTACAGGTTATACCACAATTTGTCTGTTTACCAGCTGATGGACATTTGTGTTATTTCTAATTTGTGAGCACTACAAATATAAAGTTCATGTACAAGTCTTTATTTTAACATGTGTTTTAGTTTCTCTTGGGAAACCACGAGTGAAATATGCATGAGTTATATGGTAGTTGTATATTTTACTTTTTAAGAAATTGTCAAGCTCTTTTCCAAAGTGGTTGAATCATTTTACATTCCCATCAGCAATATATGAGAGTTCAGTAGCTTCATATCCTTGTTAACACTAGACTTGACAGTCTTTTAAATTTTAAATATTCTAATGAGTATGTAGTGGTATCTCGCTGTGGCTTTAATTTGCATTTTCCTAATGACTAACGATGTTGAGAATCTTTTTATGTCCTTATTTGCCATTCATATATCTTCTTTGGGTGAAATATCTGTCCAAATATTTTGTTCATTTTTTAATTGGATTGTTTGTTTTCTTAATATTCAGTTCAGTAAGTTCCTTATATATTCTGGATACAAGTCTTCTAACAGGTAAGTGACTTGCAAATATTTTCTCCCAGTCTGTGGCTTGCCTTTTCATTCTCCTAACAGTGCGTTTTGAAGAGCAGAAGTCCTTATTTTAGACAAGACCAACTTTAAAATTTTCTTCCATGAATAGTGGTGCTTTTGGTATCATAGTCCCAAAATTTTTGCCTAACTCTTGGTCACAAAAATTTTTCTTTTATACACAAGTTATTAATAGGTATTTGTTCATTATTAACTAGTCTTTCCTAATCTTTGCTTGGTATAGGTTGGTAATACTGAACCCTACATAATGGTGTGTTCCATAAACAAACCTTTATCTTACATTATTGTTTTCCTCCCCAACAGCATGTAATGCTGCACAATACCATGCAATGAATATTTAATGACTAATTAATCCACAATAAGAAATGAATGGCCAGTACACAAATACAAAACTGTATTTAATAACATGAACATTTTTTAGATTAACATCTTGGAGACTAGCACTCTGGGAGGCCGAGGCAAGAAGACTGCTTAAGGTCAGGAGTTTGACACAAGCCTGAGCAAGACTGAAACCCCATTTCTACTAAAAATAAAAAAATTAGGTGGTCGCCATGGTGCACACCTGTAGTCCCAGCTACTAAGGAGCCTGAGGCAGGAGGATTGCTTGAGCCCAGGAGTTTGAGGTTATAGTGAACTGTGATGATGCCACTGCACTCTACCTAGGGCAACAGAGCAAGACTCTGTCTCAAAAAAAGATCTTGGAGAGCAATTACACTATATTTTCAGTACATAATATTGCATGGGCCATTGGCTTCACTCGGTATGAAATTTTTTATGCTTTCATGGAACGCATTTTACAAATTTTAATGTAATAAACCTTTATTGTGTACTGATTATGTGCAAATTACTGAGCTAGGTATTACATGGAGATACAGAGATATAAACGATAATAGCCACCATACTAAGCGCCAGATATTTAATATATATATTATTTTTATCCTTTAAAGATGAGGAAATCAAGGCTTAAAAGAGGCTAAGTAATGTCTCCAAGGGCAGAGCTAGAATCTAGATAAGCTAAGATTTAAATCTAGGCTTGAGTTAGTAAATAAAGGAGGCATGATTTGAGGCTGTCTGACTGGGAAGACTATGTTCTTGACAGAGTTCTATGTTAAGGCAATATTGTTACAAGTCTCATTTAAAGTACAAGTGCTATTAATTTAGTACCTGAGAAAAATCTTCAGCTGCTACTGGCAAATTAACATCATTTTCTTGTGTTTTCAGAAGTGTTGTGGGAAGAACAAAGTTAGAATTTGGCTGCAATTCCAATTCTCCCAAACTCATTGGACCATGACTAACACATGAATCTTCATCAATACCATCTGTTATCAAAAATGTAAACCAAAAGATAAATTATTAAATTTATTTTAGAAAAAGAACAAGTAATTGACTGAAATTTACCAATATTTCTCACCTGCTGAATTAGAACTAACAGTGTACTTCAAACAAGAACACCTGGTACCAAGCCTTCGTTGCAATTAAAATCAAAGCTCACATAGAATGCAAAAAGTACTTATGTTCAAACAAATCCATTGAATATTCTAACTAAGGTTCCAATCAACAAGTTGTCCATGTAGCCGACCCCCATCCTCCTTCCCACACACCAACTCCTAACACTCCTGTTTACCTTTTCTATCACTAAGCATCAGTAGAATACTTTCTATTTAAAATATAATCTTAGGCCGGGTGCAGTGGCTCATGCCTGTAATCCCAGCACTTTGGAGCCAAGGCAGGAGGATTGCTTGAGCCCAGGAGTTTGAGACCAGCCTGGGGAACATAGTGAGATCCTTCTCAACAAAGAACAAGAAAAATTAGCCAGGTGTGGTGGTACATGCCTATAGTTCCAGCTACTTGGGAGGCTGAGGTGGGAGGATTGCTTGAGCCCAGGAGTTTGAGGCTGCAGTGAACTATGATGCTGCTGTACTCTAGCCTGGGCAAGAGAGCAAGAACTTGGGGGTTGGCATGGAGGAAGAGAAGGAAATAAAGCAACGGGCAATTTCCTGGTTAGAAAATATTTGTATTGCTTAGCTCTGTTCTATAGGTATTTTTCTTCAAAGGCTAAGCTCCTCTTTTTCTCATCTAAATGGCATCTCAATCAAATCAATAAAAAGAAAACAAAAGCAGAGATATCCAAGCATCTAATAATAATATTACTGTACATTTGCATTGCACTTTATATTCCAAGCACAAAAGTATACATTATCTCATTTAATTTGAACTTCACAATCATCTGTAAGGTAGGCAGGTCGGATAATATTATGGTCATGCAGTATTATGGAACATAAGTACCATCTTTCACTGAAAAAACTAAGGTTCAGAGAAGTAACTGTCCAAAAATCAGAGAGCTAGAAAGAAGCACAGAGGAATTAAGTCACTGTTGTTTATTTCACATTCTTACTAAAATATTTCTAAGAAAATTCTGTTTTTCCTAATTAATGGCAACCTTTTAAATATAGCATTGTATAGTTTATCTCATTTTAATCAACAGAAATAGACCTGAAGAGTTATACATAAACTAAATTGTTTTAAGTGAAATAATATTTTTAAGACACCATGGATATTTGCCACTTAAAGGCAATCTGTTGATAATTTCCTTGCAGCAAATAATCACACTCCGATCTTTTATGTTAATCTAGGTTTTTAAGGGGGTTTTGCATAAGGCAAATTATATCCATTGAGTTTTAATTTATGCCTTCATAGTATTCAATCTGTATAAAGCAATTTGTCAAAACGACTACCTGGTTAATTCTCATTTAATTATCTAGCATAAGATTAATTTAAATAATGGTAATTCCCCTAATTTAGAGTAACTAATGAACTAGGCCTTATATTTGCCTCTTTATGTTATGATAAATATATATCTATTTATATTTATATTCCTATGTCTAACATTTTCCTAAGACTGTTGGGCAAATGAATTAAGAGAAAAGAATTAGCACATAAATGTTGAAAGAGAAGATATTAAAAATTCTTTTTGCTGATGATACGGTATATACCTAGAAAACCCAAGAGACTATAATGAGAAAAAAGAACTCTATTAGAATTAATAAGAGAATTTGGTAATGTGACTGGACACCAGATAGATATATAAAAATGATAGTTTTTCTCTACATTATAGCAACCTAACCAAGCCATGCAAACTGAAACAGAGAAAGCATTAAATATAGAAATAACTATGTAAAAAAATGTAATTACATGGCAAAAAGTCTTAAGTAATGTCAATAACAAAATATAAATTTAGAAAAAGATATTTGGCAATACAGTTAATAGAAAACATCTAAAATATGGAAATAGCTTTAAAAGTTATAAAAAAAATTATAACCTCACAGATGAGAAAAGAGCTTAGTAAGAGCGAATCCAAATGGCCAACAAACATATGAATGAGAAGACATATAGATTCGCCAGAAGTCAAAAACATATCTTTATATTTTGACTAACAAAAGTAAAAAAACAAGGCAAGAGGATTATTTGAGGCCAGGAGTTCATGACCAGCCTGGGCAACATAGTGAGACCCCGTGTCTATATATATATATGTATGATATAAAAATAAAAAACAATAAACACAATTTCAGTAGGGGATGCAGGGAAAGGGCTCTAATAAATTGCTGTTAAAAATAAATTAAACTTTTAAGAAAGCAACTTGGCATTATATATTTTAAAATTAAAGGTGTATTTGCCCTTGGATTCAGTAACTACACCTGGGAAGATATTCTATAGATATAAAATGCAACAATATGGTAGGACATGTGTGTGTGAATAAGGTTAATATCTGTCAATAGAGAAATAACTAAATAAATTATTAGAAATCCACACTGTAAGGTTTCACGCAATCATTAAAAAGAATGAATTTAAGTAATATCAGTTGACCTCAAGTAATCTACAGGATTTACTGGGTAAAAAATAAAATTCAGGCAGGTATGCATGACATGATCTCAAGTTGTAAAATAATCTCAGTCACACATACCATATATATTGCATGTATGCATGTGTGTGTATAATTATATGCATAAGAAAAAATGGAAAGTTACACACCAAAATCTTAACATGAGCTACCTGGGGTAAGGCATACATGGATGGGACAGGAGAAAATGTGGGGTGAAGGGCTCTCAAAAAGTACATAATAGCTTTCAAATCATATAACACCCCATCACTTAACAGATATTTACTATGTACTATGCATTACCTACCCTGCTAGATGTCAGGGATATAATAGTGAACAAGATAAAAGTCCCCACCCTTACATGAGATTACCAAATCAATATGATAAGAGAAACATTAGGCAGGCAACCTTAAAGAATTATACAGAGTACATATGATAGGCATCTAAAGTGATAAGGGGTCAGAAAAGGATTCCACGAGTGGTGCATGCCTATAGTTCCAGCTACTTGGGAGGCTGAGGTGGGAGGATTGCTTGAGCCCAGGAGTTTGAGACCAGCCTGGGGAACATAGTGAGACCCCGTGTCTATATATATATATGTATGTATATAAAAATAAAAAACAATAAACACAATTTCAGTAGGGGATGCAGGGAAAGGGCTCTAATAAATTGCTGTTAAAAATAAATTAAACTTTTAAGAAAGCAACTTGGCATTATATATTTTAAAATTAAAGGTGTATTTGCCCTTGGATTCAGTAACTACACCTGGGAAGATATTCTATAGATATAAAATGCAACAATATGGTAGGACATGTGTGTGTGAATAAGGTTAATATCTGTCAATAGAGAAATAACTAAATAAATTATTAGAAATCCACACTGTAAGGTTTCACGCAATCATTAAAAAGAATGAATTTAAGTAATATCAGTTGACCTCAAGTAATCTACAGGATTTACTGGGCAAAAAATAAAATTCAGGCAAGTATGCATGACATGATCTCAAGTTGTAAAATAATCTCAGTCACACATACCATATATATTGCATGTATGCATGTGTGTGTATAATTATATGCATAAGAAAAAATGGAAAGTTACACACCAAAATCTTAACATGAGCTACCTGGGGTAAGGCATACATGGATGGGACAGGAGAAAATGTGGGGTGAAGGGCTCTCAAAAAGTACATAATAGCTTTCAAATCATATAACACCCCATCACTTAACAGATATTTACTATGTACTATGCATTACCTACCCTGCTAGATGTCAGGGATATAATAGTGAACAAGATAAAAGTCCCCACCCTTACATGAGATTACCAAATCAATATGATAAGAGAAACATTAGGCAGACAACCTTAAAGAATTATACAGAGTACATATGATAGGCATCTAAAGTGATAAGGGGTCAGAAAAGGATTCCACGACAGCAGTCATAACAATGCTGAACTTGCTGTGTCTTCTAACAAGCTCAAAGTATGCTCATTTAGTGTGGGTGTCCTATGTGTATAATGCAAGTTAGACCTTTGTAAGAAGAACACTTAAAATATTATTTCATTCAGGTCAAATTTAATTTAATTAATCATAACTTGAAATCCCTAATTTTACTTTCCTAGAATCTTATTGTCATGGAAAGCAACAGTGGGAGACTTTCAGAGAAGACTAAGTTCACCTGCAATTGCTAGTGCCAACAGCAGTTTTTGGTCTGGGATGTCTAATAGGTTACTTCATTTGTATGAAAGCCAAAGGCACCTCAAATTCAGTATGTATAAAACCCCAGTCACCCTATTTCCTCCTAATTCTGTCCTTCCTCCATATCTCTCTAAATGAATGGAATGACCATCTAGCCAATCATTCTAGCCAGAAACCTGGGGATTTCTTAGGCTTTTCCCTTCTTTTGCACCTCTCACATTCAAACTAAGTCCCATCCATTCTTTTTTTTTTCTTTTTTATTTCATCATATTATGGGAGTAGAAATGTTTAGGTTATGTATATTGCCCTTGCCGACCCAAGTCAGAGCTTCAAGCATGTCCATTCCCCAGGCGGTGTGCACCGCACCCTTTAGGTGTGTATATTCCCATCCCCTCCTCCCCCCCGCCACCTGCCTGACACTGATGAATGTTATTACTATATGTGCACTTAAGTGTTGATCAGTTGATCAATTTGATGGTGAGTACATGTCTCCTTCTTGATTGTCTCTCAAATCTCCCTTTTTATACATCCTCACTGCTGAATAATGTCTTGTCAGGTTTACTCTAACAGTTGTCTGATCCAGCTCCTTGCCTCCAGTCCCAACTTTTCCAGTCTATCCATCATATTGTACCTCAGGTGATCTCCCTAAATAAAAGGTAGATATGATCATATCACTCATTTACTTATAATCCTTAACAGATTCATGAATCTCACATGACATTCAGAAGTGATAAAAATTCAAGCCTGAATTTTCCATGGGAATAAATACAAAGTAAGATTGGCATTATTTCCCACTGTGTACACAAATGAATTCTTACTGTCTTAGAGTAAATCCCAAAACTCCTTGATATATTACCCAGGGTTTTTCATGA